CGCGAGAGGAGTGCAGGTGCGAAGTGACGCAGAGCGGGCACACGCAGAAAGCACCGCTTTTGCGGGACGGGCAGCCGGGCCCCGACACCGACATCACCAATGGGGATGGCATGCCCAGCGGGATGAAGAAATCCGGCCCGGGGTGAGGTTCAGGCAGCGAGGGTGCAGGCCGTGAGGTGTCCTTGATGATAAGCGAATCGACATAGAAAGAGCGCGACATGTCGGGAGGGACGAATGGCTGGAGGGCCCGGCTGGCCGCGGCGCCCCCTCCGCTCTTGTGTTCTGAGCTCTGCCCCGGAGCAGCGTGGACGCCGGCGGTCAAGCCCTTGGGGACGCGAAGGTGTCGGCGTCTGGGCCGGGAACAAAGGGGTCCCTGGAGAGGGCTGGTCCTCACGTCCCCCGCCCCGGCTCCCGGGCTCCTGGATTTTATAGCCCCCACCCTGGCACGTGATGCTGCGGAGTACCGCACGGCCCAGGCTCCTCAGCAGCTCCCCACCCTCGGGATAGGCTGCCCGAGTCACAACAGAAGCGGCGAGGAGGGGCAGGCGCGCGGCAGGAAAGAACACGGGGGAGGGGAAGGGGGAGACTTTGCAAAGTGTAGGTTTTGTTAATTTCCCAGGGAGGTCGGCCTCCTTCCCCCTCTTTCTCTATGCTTTTCCAAGAAATCATTGCGCTGCATCTCATCTTCTACCCTACCCCTCTCCTTAACCTGGACCCCAGCCCAACTCTTCCCGGCGCCCTGCGGCAGAGCGCACCAGGTGGAGACTTCAAGACCGTTTTAATAGGGATGCCCAACGCTCCCGGCTCCTCGGTGTCAGCTGTAACTTCGCCAAAGTGAAGAGTGAGGCCTGTGCTTTGCAGTAGGGTGTGCAGGCAGAGAACTGGCAGCGGTCCTGAGGATACCTGAGGGCAGCTGTGGCCAAGCTCACACCTACCCCTGTTAGCCAGTTTTTGACTTGGTCAAGGTCGTTCAGGTGGTTAGTTCATGACGGATCAGGTGGTAGCAGTGAGGCTTCCCTCCCAGCTAAGAAGCCGCCAAGCATTTTGTTCTGATGTTCTAGAAGATCTAAAAGCCTTTGTACTTAGGGCCCTGCTGGGGTCGCTTATACCAAGGACCCTTCCTTGTGCCACTTTCTACTGAGCAACTATCCCTGCTGGAGAGGGGGTGGTGGTTGTGAAGAGTCATCTTGTTATTTCTCCAAGTAGTTATACTGCTGCATTTCCAGGTCAACCCCTACAAATTCCATCCCAAAGATTTTGGAAAGAGGACCAAACACCAGCCCTCCCGCAAGCTGGGCAGGGGTTGAGGGAAGCCTTTGCTTTAAGTCTAGTGATCACTTGTTCCTCTCATTTTTATTGTTCTTGGACAATGGTCTAGTTTTAACAGGAAGCATTGTCCTTCTGCATCCCCAAATTCTAAAAAGAATGGAGGGGACTGTACCACCTGAGGAATCCTCTCTCTAAACATGAGAAGTAGCTTGGTAAAGGAAATCTCTCAGTGGCGCAGGTCCTTCACCCCCAGCTGCCAGAGAGAAGGCGCTACTAAGACTGGGACACTTGATCTTTGGGGAAACAGCAGTGGCGACAGCTTTTTCTTCTCTATAGAAAAGCAGGTTGAAGTGGGGAGGCTGAGCAACAGCTACAAGTTGGGTCCTTTCCCCAGAATGGCTGACTCCAAGCCTGAATTCACAGAGGTGCCAAGAAACTTAAAGACCGGACTCTCTCCATCTGAGAGAACAAAGTGCCCCCAATACAGGAGAGCACCATCTCTGTCCTGTCTTTCTTCCCTTTCCCGTCTCCGTGACTGTCTTTCTTGCCTGCTGGAGAAGTGTAATTGGGTTGTAGGGACGCCCCGCTCTGGGGAGCCCAGGATTTATGGATGGCAATTAAAGTTTTATGAATTGCAGCTGAGGCTGGTTATTGAGCTATTTGAATGTGATTAGAATTCAATTAGAAAGCGGTTAGTGGATGGTGGGTCTCCAGAGTGTAAACAGACAGCTATTCCAGAAATGTGCTAATCCAACATCTTGTGACAACAATTAAGGAGTCTCAGGGCTTACCGTGGGGCAGCTCAGCTGTAACTACTTTTGTACCACAAGGTTGGCTAGTGCAGCCCATGTAGACACCCAGCCTCACCCCAGCCCACCCTGGCTTTTGATGGGAGAATCCAGGCAGTCTCCACAATCATTCCAGCCCCAGATTTGGGAAGATTTGGAGTTCAACAATTGAGAGAGGCTTTATGAGAGGGTATTTTTTAAATGGCCTGAATTGTTCAAGTAGGTGACTCCACCCCCTCCTAACCCACCTTCTTGATTCTTTAAAAGTAATAGCTTTTGCTCTCTCTCTTTTTTTTTTTTTTCATCCTTTGGGTGTGGTAGAAGGTTATCCAAGGTCTGTTTGGGGCTGACACTTGTATCACAATATTCCCAGGAATTTTGAGTGTGCTCACAGAAAGAACTCCTTTACTAATGTGCTAGAAATTGTGTTTGTGTGCAGGCCATTTTATTTTAGTAAATCTTAATTATGCAAAAGATTTGAGCATCCCCTTCAAATTATGTCTGACTATGGAAACATTCAGTTTCTAGTACCAAGGAATTTTGAGAAAGGTGAGAGACCTGTGAAATTACTTAGGGCTTCAGAATAAGCTAAGGCTAAAACTAGGACCATATCTGAGAAACATACCCATTTCAGTACTTGGTTAAGTTATTGGATGACAAAGAGCAAGTACTTGGGTATCCCCTGGGTAATCTCTATCCTCTTTCTTTTCTCTAGTTATCTTTGGATTTCCCAGTATCTCCATCTTCCTTTCTTCCATCCCTCCCTCCCTCCCTCCCTCCCTCCCTCCCTCCCTTCCTTCCTTCCTTCCTTCCTTCCTTCCTTCCTTCCTTCCATCCAGCCCACATCTTCAGAAGCCAGTCTAAAGTATGCCTGTCCTGCATGGTCCTGGACAGCATTGCCACCGGTCCTGGTCAGGTGACTGTTTTCAGGGAACAGCACCCCAACCAGCTCAAAGCAGAAGGGGACCCCATGCTCAGTCAGACAGACCTTTGGCGTGTGCCCACAGTGTTTGCACCACTGCACAATTTTATTTCTCAGTGATTCTGTCCGATAAAATTTCATTGTCCATTAAGTAATCCCCAAAATGAGAGCTCTTATGAGCCTATAATGAGCTCTAATTGCCACGACTTGGGGAGCCACGTGGAAGGATTTATTTGGAATTAAGCAGTTGGGTACAGAGTACAGGCTGTTACCTAAGCCATTACTTTCATAACTCAAGGAGAAAATGAGTTCTTTTAAGGGGAGGGGAAGTCCTTTGATTCTCTCCCTTTTGCTCAGGATGATAGAGGATGGCTTTGTCTTCCTTGACTGCAAGGTCCTGTCATAATCCAGAAGGTAACAAAATTGTTCTTCCCACCTCCTCCTGCCCAGGGCACCCCCACCCTGCCCTCAACTTAGAGAAAACAATCAGCAGTTCTAGAGAGAACACCAGCAGCTGCCTTCTTGTCTCTGGACTCTCCAGTTGCAACCTTGGGTGAGCGGTTTCCTTCTAGCTCAGTCTTGACATTTGAATTTTTAGTTCCAGGTTTCAAAAGATCTTCCAGTACTTTTTCCTACCTCAAAAACGGAACCTGATTTGAACCCCACATTCCCCTCTCACTTCCCTTTTTTCCTAACTCTTTTCGTGGGCAAAGTCAGGGAAAGTAAAGGGTGGAGACTTAGCCTTGCTTATTCAACAGGCCTCAAAAGTTCTGACCTGATGTGCTTAGCAGTTTTGTTTTTGTTTTTTAATCAGGGCTGTAACTTCCACTTTGCCCCTTCCTCTGCATCCTCCCAAGAACTCCCCCCTGTCTGTCCCCAGTCCTTTTTTCTCTCAGTGTCAGCATTTGCCAGTGTGGTTCTCCTGCTCCAAACGGAGGCCGCAAGCAGGGCGGGACAGCCCAGGAGTTGGAGGGGCCGCCTCGGATTTATTTGCTCCTCTTACATTGATTTCATATTAGTTTCCAAAGCGATGAATGATCTCAAAGCTGGGTTTTGTTAGCCGAACACAAACAGGAGACAGGACTTACTTGCCCCCAGCTCCCTTTAATGAGGTCATTATCAAAGCGTGAACAAGTCTATGAATGTTTTATTGAAAGCGCATCGTTAACTTGTATCCATCCTTTTCTCCGAGTGGCATTGTGATATTGCTGTCTGTGGCACATCTTACCCGATATAGCCCGAGATTTCCCCATTCTCTGTAACCAGGCAACCCTTTCTGAATACCCAAAAATTGAAAAGAACCGCTTAGTCTTCAAGAAAGTCCTCAATAATAGTGGAAAAGAACAAAGATCCAGGAGACAACAAAATGCCACAGGGGTGACTTTTCATGAGCAATTATCTCTCATTAATCAGAAGAACAGCTGCAATATTAATTTTCTCTCTTTCTTCCTCTCTTTTCACAGTCCCCAACATTTGAATAATCATAAATTTTGATTTTATGAAGGAGTCACATTTTCAGGGACTGGAGGAAAGCAGCTACCTAGGTGAAGACAAGGAGAAAATGCTCTCGTTTTATTTTATTTTATTTTTTTGTTTGGGGAAAGCTGCCAACAAAGCAAAATGAAAAAAATAAATAAGAAAGAAATGCCAGAGAAAACGCACCCCCCCCCCTTCTAGATGGCTGCTGAGAATCGGGACTCCTTTCTCCACCCCTTCCTCTCTCCACCGCTCCCTTTTTTCCTCCCCCTGTCCAGACCCACTCCCTAATTCTGCTCTGAGCAGGGTGAAGGGAAATGTCCCCGGCGTCTGGCGTGGGAGTTTCAGCCGGGTTTCTGCCGGTTTAACTTGCAAACGTGAAGCCAAGCGTTGTCGATCTGACCAAAGAGACACTCTTTGGGCGTAACTTGCATTGTGGCCATCAAAAGCCCGCCAGCCTTGGATGAACTGAGACGTGCATTCAGTAGAAATGGGGCGCTCACTTTCCTTTCAGGCTCTGGAGAGGCGATTATTCACAGGACGTGTTGCCACGATAGAAAATGTGGGTCCCCATATAAGGCTGTAACCTGCAAACGAGCTTGCGGGGAGTTGAATCTCATTAAAGCTGAGGCTGCAATTAGCAAATACTCACTCACAGAGAACTCAAGCTCTTCTTGAAAAGCTGTGGGTCCGATGAAAGAGGGCAGTTGGGAGTTAGTCCCCATATTGCGGTCCTGGCTGAGTAATGGGGGCCCAAGCACCTACAGTCCCTTCAGCACCCCCCCCCAATATTGTTGCTTTTTAATGCATATCTGGGCATGGCCATTCCAGAGAGAAAACAGGCTGCAGGTCCCTTGCTTATGCACCACCAAAAATGATCTTGCTTCTGCCTGGTGCTTATTCAGAGCGGATGAGCTTTTGAGAAACCTGAATTCGCCTTTGTGCTCACCACAGTTTCAAGAGTTCAATTCAGCCAAGAAGAAGGGGGGGGGTCCTGAGAAAGGAGTGAGGAGTTTGACTCA